ATTATTTTTTATGGCTGAGTAATGTTCCATCACACACACACACACACACACACACACACACACACACACACCACATACACTTTATCCATTTGTCTATGGATGGACACTTGGGTTGCTTCCATATCTTGACTGTTGTAAATAATGCTGCAAGGGGAGCCTGGCTGGCTCAGTCAGTTAAGCATCCGACTCTTGGTTTCAGCTCAGGTCGTGATCTTATGGTTGTGGGGTTGAGCCCATTGTTGGGCTCAGCGTTTGATGAGGAGTCTACTTCGGATTCTTTCTCCCTCTCCTTCTGCCCCTCCTCACTCATGCTCCCGCATAAATCTTTTGGAATTAGTGTTTTTCTTTTCTTTGGGTAAAAACCTAGTAATGCAATTACTGGATCATTCTATTTTTAATTTTTTGAGGAGTCTCCATACTGTTTTCCACAGTGGCTGCACCAGTTTACATTCCCACCAACAGTGTGGGAGGGTTCCTTTTTCTCCACATCCTTGTCAAACATGTTATTTCTTGTTTTTTTGATACTAGCCATTCTGACACATGTGAGGTGATATCTCACTGTGATTTTGATTTCACAGCAGCACTATTCTTAACGGCCAAAGGATGGAAACAATCCCAAGTGTCCATTAACATATGAATGGATGAACAAAAGGTGATGCATCCGTACAATGAAAGATTATTCAGACACTGAAAGGAAGTTCTGATATATGCTACAACATGGATGAACCCTGAAAACGTTATATGAAGTGAAAGAAGCCAGACCACAAAAGGACAAAGATTGTGTGATTCCACTTATATAAAATACCTAGAATAGGGAAATTCAGAGACACAGAAAGTGGATTTGGTTACCAGTGGCTGAGGGGACCAGGAGTTACTGGCTAAGGATTACAGAGATTTGTCTGGAGGAGAAAGTTATGAAAATAGGGGTGAATGGGTGCACAACATTGTGAATGTAATTCATGCCACCAAGCTGTACACTTATGGTTAAATGGTTAAAATGGTGAATTTTGTTATATAGACTTTATCAAAATAAAAGCGAGTGGATAGTGCGTAAGCATTTGCCAAAGGCTATGAGTTTGAACAATCTGCCGTCCAACTACTTAAGGAGTTAAGAACAAGCCATCCGTTTCTTTCATGCCTCCAGAGAGCCTTAGGGTTTTGTCCCTAGATCAGAGTGGATGTTCAGAAAGCTCTCCAGAGTCCAGCAGCACTTTGGTCCTAATAAAACCTGAGTTCTGATCTCTACCTCAAGTGCAGGATGATTACAGTCAACCAGGGGGTCACCATAAGGTTCTTCACTACCTGAAGAACTTCAAAGACATTTTTTCCCAGACTCCGGAGTCACTAAGTCTTTCTGTCCCAGGAGTAACTGGCTGGTTCCTCTTTGTGGTCACTGAAAATCCTGCGCAGATCAGGAAGCTCAAAGACAAACGTGTGGCTCACCTCTGATGACTGAGGGGTCACATGACTTACAGCCACCACAGGTCACACAGGTACCACCCAGTCTTCATTTACCCAGAAGTAGCTTTTCATCTATTTCTACTTTAAGATATGAACACACTTAGAAAAATGACAAAATCTGCTGGAAAATGAAATAAGGAATAAAGAAACAACTCACCAGGGATTTGTTCATTTTCTCTTGTTCTTGGTAGAATGTCAAAAGCTGGGAAGGCACACCTATAAGAGAAGAGCAACAGGGTAATGAGAGCTGGTTGGCCCTGCAGCACCTCGATTCCTGTACAAACTTCTACACGCCAGCTGGTTAACTTCTGATCCTGGAGAGGAGAAGGTAGGCAACTTCCATCCCTCTGTGACTCCTTTTTTTTTTTTTTTAAA